TTTAGTCATACTTATTTGTGGCATTAAGGCCTTGGTCATATTAATTTAGATAGGATTTCTAGGATTTCTAGGTTGGTCAAGGATGGACCATTGAGTTCATTGAAAGTGGAGGCACTACCAACCTGTGAATCTTGTTTAGAAGGTAAAATGACTAAGAGGCCTTTCCTATAAAGGGTAATAGAACTAATGATGTACTTGAATTAATTCATTCTGATTTGTGTGGTCCAATGAGTGTCCAAGCTAGGAGTGGTTTTGAGTATTTTGTGACTTTCACAGATGATTTCTCAAAATATGGATACATTTACCTGTTGCGCCGTAAGTCTAAATGCTTTGTTGAGAAATTCAAAGAGTTCAAGGCAGAAATGGAGAAACGACATGGAAAATATATCAAGTCGTTACGGTCTGACCGTGGTGGCGAATACCTCTCTAGAGAATTCATTACTTATTTATCAGAATAAGGAATTACTTCACAGTTGTCTACACCTGGTATGCTACAACATAATGGTGTAGCAGAAAGAAGAAATAGGACGCTTATGGATATGGTTAGATCAATGATGAGTTATTCAGATTTGCCCATTTCGTTTTGGGGGTATGCCATAGAAACAACAACATATATTCTGAATTTGGTTCCATCTAAGTCAGTACCTAAAACTCCTACAGAACTGTGGACTGGGCAGAACTGTGGACTGGGCGAAGCCAAGTCTAAGACATGTTCGGATGTGGGGGTTGTCCAGCCCATGTGCCTGAAAGGGAAAGCAGATAATTGGAATCAAACAACAGACTTAATGCTTCCTTTATTGGATATTCCTAGAGGAAACAAAAGGTGGTTTTATTTTATAAGTTCTCAAAGATAAAACGGTCATTGTTAGCACCAATGCACATTATCTTGAGGAAGACTATATTAAAAACCACTATTCCCAAAAGTCCAATTAGCCTTGTATGAATTGAGAAGGAGAAAATATACCAACTAAGAACCTTTCCATTAGAACAACAACCTAAACCATCAATGGTTTGGAGCTGAACATTCATTGCTAGTCGTAGTGGAAGACATGTAGTCGACCAGTAAAAATCAACAATCAGCCTGAATATTCAGTACCTAACATTTCACTACCACCTGAAAAGTAGTGGGAGTTATGTTAGAAACTGGAAAGTGGCAGCTGTTGATCCAAATATACAGGAGCACAAATGTTGGGGCTTCTAACATTTCATTGCCTCCTGGTGGATGACAGACATGTTGAATTCCCAGAAACCAAATGTCAAGATGTAGTCCCACCAGTCATGGACTTGCCGGCTTTACAGCCACATGCAAAAATGAAGTGTGATTGCAGAACCTGTAAGTACTTCGTCGTAAAGTGGGAGATTAGACGACCACCGGTTCGATATACACTTTTGGGAGAAGCTTTTGAATAGAAATCCCTGAAAGAAGTGAATATGAACCTGTTCTGTTACGATGAAGCACTACAAGATAAAGATGCGATAAGTGGCTTGTAGCTAATGAAATCCTGAAGATGTTAGTCCTCATGTACTCTAATCAAGTCTGGGAACTTGTAGAACCACCTGAAGGGGTTTAACCCATCGGATGTAAGTGGAATCTATTAAGAAAAAGAGGGGTATAGACGGTAAAGTGCCAAACTTATAAGGCAAGGCTTTGTTGCGAAAAAGGGTTTTACTCCAAAAAAGAAGGGATCGATTTAAGAGGAAACTTTTTCGCGGTAGCCCATGCTAAAGTCCTATTAGAAACTCTTCTTATCCATTGCAAGCCTCATCATGAATGATTATGAGATTTGGCAAATGGATGTCAAGACAGCTTTCCTAAATGGAAGTCTTGATGAATGTATCTATATGAAGCAACCAGAAGGTTTCATAAACAATGGACAAGAACAATGGACAAGAAAATTTGCTTTGCAAATTGAATAGGTCCATTTATGGGCTTAAACAAGCATCTAGGTCATGGAATACTTGTTTTGACCAAGCGATTAAAAGTTTTGGCTTTGATCAGTGTCATGATGAGTCTTGTGTGTATTAGAAATGGAATGGTAGTAAGGTTGTTTTTTGGTACTATATGTGGATGATATTCTGCTTATAGGGAATTGTGTAGGTATGTTGAATTCTGTCAAAGATTGGCTGTCCCAACGTTTTGATATGAAGGATTTGGGAGAGGCTGCTCATATTCTTAGGATTAAGCTTATGCGAGATCGCAAGAAAAGGATGATTGGCTTATCTCAAGCACTTTTTATTGATACCATTCTTGCTCGTTTCAGCATGCAGGATTCCAAGAAGGGTTTTCTTCCCTTCAGACATGGAATCACTCTATCTAAGGACCAACTCTATCTAAGGACCATGTCCTAAAGACCACCTGAGGGAATAGAGAACATGAAGGCAGTTCCATATTTGCTTCTGCAGTTGGAAGCCTTAATAAATGTATGCAATTGTTGTGTACCAGACCTGACCAGACCTGATATCTGTTTTGCTGTTGGCATGGTTAGCAGATTTCAATCTAATCCTGGGCGAGAACACTGGACTGCAGTCAAGCATATTATCAAGTACTTGAAAAGGACTAGGGATTATAGGTTAGTTTATCAATCTGACGATCTTGTACCCATTGGGTATACAGATTCGGATTTTCAGACTGATAAGGACTCTCGGAAGTCAACCTCTGGTAATGCTTTTGTCTTGGGAGGTGGAGCCATAAGTTGGAGGAGTATTAAGCAAACTTGTGTTGCTGACTCCACCATGGAAGTTGAATATGTGGCAGCTTCTGAAGCTGCAAAGGAAGCTGTATGGCTTAGGAACTTCCTTATGGATCTAGGCGTAGTTTCTTCAGTGCAATTGCTTCAGTGGCAAATTGCCTATTACACTTTATTGTGAAATAATAAGTTGGGGCAGTTGCAAAACCTCGAAAAGGAGCCACGGAGCCATAAAAGGGCAAAACACATTGAGAGGAAGTATCATTTGATACGAGACATGGTTCAAAGGGGAGATGTGGTAGTGACAAAGATTGCATCGGAAAACAACCTGGCAGATCCTTTTACAAAAAGCTTACCAGCAAAGGCTTTTAACAGTCATGTAGAAGGAATGGGAGTTAAAGTTATTGATGCATGGTTATGAGTCTAAGTGGGAAATTGATAGAGATATACTATTAACCATGCATATGTAATAGTATAGCTATGAATGATTTTCTATTGACGATTATTTCTTTGTATTTAATTGGAAATAAATTGGAAATTTGCAATTAAATAAATGTTATTAGCATATAATAAATTGTGATTAAGACATTTTGTATTTTGTATTTAATTGACCTAACGCTAGAGAATGGATGTTTAGTACTTTTAGTAATGACTGTTAAACATATTCTCTAAGACATTAGAAATAATGTTTATTGTTCTTAATCTTGATTTATTTTAATATGAGCAAACATTGATTGTCTTATGCTTTGATTCATTAAAGGATGAGTTTCATTATTGGAATAATATTCTCGGTGAATTGGGCAAAGCTTTTTGTGTTTGTGAAATATTAATTAATGATAGAATCAATGTCTCGGTTTAGAGATTGATGATGCACTTTAAGTAAGCTTATAAGGTTTCATAGTGTAAACCCTGCAGGTGGATTTTGAATCCGACACATGAAATAACAATCTTAAAGTTATATTGTGATTTAAATAAATTGTCAGTAAGTTATTTAAATGACAGCATCTATTGAAAATGAACAGCATCTGTAATTCTTAACGATGGGGAAACATTATTTTATTAATGTTGTGGAATAAGTAAAATTAAATAAGGAGTTCAGTCATGAGTTTTTAAGTGGAATAATTCATGATTAATTATAATAAGAATATGTTGGTCTACATAGGTTATTATTATAATTAGTAGCCTGATTTATTTTATTCCTGAGGTCCCTGTAGTGCCCTAATTATTTGGAAAGTTAAGGGTGTATTAAATAATAGATAAATTATTCAGTTTTAAAATAATTGATATTTAATTAAATAATTTTTTATTTAATTTATTTTATATTAAAAAAATATCTTCCTATCGAAGAGAGGTTTTTTAATATAAGATTGCAAAACGCTAAGAATAAAGAGATACGCACGTTATTCTATTCTCTGCCACTCAGAGAGTTCCAAAACAGAGATAGTTAGGGATTACTGCAGAAGATCGTGGGTGACTCCAAGATATCTGGAAAGAAGACCGGTGAGCGATTTTGTGCTTCAAGAGGTCAGTTTATTGATTTGTTCGATAATGTTTTTAGTTTGCCTCATATGGTTTCGATAAGGGTTGTTTCCGCTTTATACCCGCTTAATACCGCTCCATCAATTTTATTGATTTGTTCGATAATGTTTTTAGTTTGCCTCATATGGTTTCGATAAGGGTTGTTTCCGCTTTATACCCGCTCCCATCAATTTAAGCATTTGAGTACTTATAAGCATCCCCTCCATGCTCTCAAACCTACACACGAGTATGCTCCTCTTATCATATACTGATTAACCAAATTATGTTTTGATTAACCAAAGCTGAACAGTTTCATTAAGTGAGAAGTTAATTTAATGTAAACCAAGTTGAATTTGTGCGAGTTTGGTCAAGTGCTAAGATCTGTTTTTGGAAAAATTAATTATTTTAATAATTATTAATTATTATAGTAGCTATCAGTTGTTTAATTAGAGTTTCATCAAATGTTAAAGGAGTAATATTTCATATTTTATCTTTTCTAGTAGTTGTCTTATTTTTTGAGACGAGATGGGATGAAATTAGGACTTGATTTATCGGCGCCGAAATTAGTGAAGATTGAAAATTAATTTGAACTTTATGCGGTCTTACTAAATTGTTTTTTTACTAAATAACCATAAAATTGATATACTCATCAATTATACAGCCAAATGAAATTCATTAATACAAATTTGTGTTAAAATAAGAAGAATAAACTAAATAATTAATTCAATCATTATGATTCGCTACTAAAAAAATAACTTCCTTTTTGTAAAAAGATGAAAAAAAAATTTTCAAGCATTGCTAAAATTATTATAATATTATAAACACACATTTATAATCACTGCTAATAACCACTTGTCTTCAAGTGTCAAATACAATTTATTTTTTTCTTCATATTTAACAATAAAATTTCAAATATGATATTTTTGTAATTCTAAAAATTTTACAGTTTTATAAATTATAAATTATTATATTTTATATTAATTATTTTTGTAATCCCTTTAACTTTAATTTATGGCCCCATCACTGTTGTTTGCCCTTGCTATGGCAGCATCCTTGATGAGCTTTAAAGATTCTTCGAAATCAGTACATAACTGGTGAGGATTAGGAATTGCACTTTCATCAACCGAGAGAACAATTGCCATCTTGTTGAAATAGCTTTGAAAATGCATAGTCAGAGCCTGTGATATATTATATGTAGTATTTTCAAATATTAATATTTATAATTCTGAAGACATTTAAAACTCATTGCATTTTTTCGATGATATAATAAAAGTACATAAAAACTATTCTTCAAATTGAAATCCAAATTCATAGATCTGCTCCTTTGGCACCTTTTAATCCTGAAGTTTATGTAATTTACCTTTGGCACCTTTTAATTTACCAAAGACTTATCATGACCTTATATTTTCACATTTCAACAATAACTATACTCTCACCAAAATGAAATAACTTTGCAAAATTCTATTCATAGTTTTGCACTTTTACATTTTATTTTAGTGATGGACATATTCATTATTGAAATGTGAACGTATGATCATATAATAGATTAGATTCCCATAAACTTGAAGGTACCACAAAACAGATCGTGTAAATTCATGCATTACGCCTCAAATTGAAAGATGAATAATTGATAGAGAAGACTTACTTTTGGAGCGCCATAAACGGTGGGAGCTATAAAGCTTATTGGATGACCATACCAAGCAATTTCTTCGGTGGGTCCAGGCAGATTTGATAGAAGCATTGTCGTTTGAGAAGGGATTTTTCGAGCCATAAAACTTGCACCCTGTGTTGACAATGAAGGAATATATATATATATATTGTTTTCAATGCTAACGTACTTACTTTTGGTTGCATAGTAAGTTGTCATTAATGAAATCAATGACTACTTAATTAAATTTATATCAATTTAAAATTTTAATTGGTACAAATTAAAATTTAAAAGTTAAATTGATTTTTTAACCAATAATTTAAATTTTATTTATTAATCAATCAAGTCCAAGAAAAAATTAATTTAAATTGATAAGTAAAAATATTGTAAATATAGATGCCATTTATTTTGATTTTTAGCTGTCTGTTTTTCTTTTTTTTTTCCGTTAAAAAATAAACAAAAACCTGTTTGTTTAAAATTATTTAATTTTTTTTCTTTAATTTAATTTTAGAAGGCTGTTTTTAAAATGAAAAACGAGTCTCATGAAACCTCAAATTATGGTTTACGTTTCTGTTTGTAATCCAACATTCCTATCTATATAAATCTGATGTTGTTTATTTATTCAAAAGAGAAAAGTGTTAATTTTATCTCTATTAACATTCTCTACTTTTTTTTTACCTCTTTTCTATTTATATAAATTTAATATCATTTATTTATTTATTTAAATTGATTGTATACATAATAATGGAAAGTCATTGTAAATTTGAAATTTAAAATAAAAGTGCGAAATTTTTTTAATTATTTTATTGTCAAACTTTTTGAATTTTTAAAATTTTTATTATTAACTAAAATTTTTAATGAAAGAATAAAGGAAAGGTTTGATAATAGGAGGAATTTTTAACATATGAAAAAAAAGAAAAGATAATTTTGAATAAAAAGAACAACTTTAAAAAAATAAGTAATCGAAAAATAAAAATTGTTTTCTGTTTTTAGTAAATAAAAAATTAAAAAGCACACAGCTACAACAAATGGGCACTTAAAAAATAATATGATCTTTTGCCTTCTTAATTAACTGAAAAAAATTTCCTTTCAATTTTGATCTAGGGTATAGTAAATAAACAAAAATTTCATATTATAGCACAATTAACATAAAAAAAAAAAAAAAAAAAAAGGTAATAGTAAATAACAAAAATTTTAATATTATAGCAGCAATTAACAAATAAAAGAAAAAAAAAAAAAAAAAGAAGAGTAACAAGAGGCATGCTGACAGTTAAGCACTTGAGATTTTATTTCATCAATAGATTTTAGTTTCTTCAATTATTTTTAACTCATCAATTGGATTTTTTTAACTTACTTAGTACTTTGTGCAGTTATAAAGTAATTAAATTATAATGCAAAAAAAAAAAAAAAAAAAAAAAAGAAGAGTACAAGAGGCATGCTGACAGTTAACACTTGAGATTTTTCATCAATAGATTTTAGTTCTTCAATTATTGTTTAACTCATCAATGGATTTTTTTAACTTACTTAGTACTTTGTGCAGTTATAAAGTAATTAAATTATAATCAAATGTCAAAGGTCTGTTTGGTAAAATTAAATGTTTTAGTATCATTTTAGTAGTATTTAACTGTTTAAGTAGCTTGTAATTGTTTAAGTAGCTTCTCATAAAACATTATATGGATTAAAATTTTATAAAACGTTATTTTTTAATCTTTAACAATTAATTTAAACGCTATATTACCGAATGCTATAAAAAATAGCATTTAACATTTTAATTAATCAAAATACTAAAAGTCATTGAAGAAACTATTACCGATGACATCCGTCTGATTATAATAAAGGGTTATGTACCTTGATGCCAAAGAAGTATATCAATAGCTTGAGAATGGTGGCAGAGGCAATGGCTTCCAGAGAATTCTTTTTCCGGTCCATAGCAGCCTTAGCGCTACGAACATAATCAAGTGGGTCATCTTTAATTGCAATTCTTAATGGAATGAAAACAAAACCAAAGTTATTGCTCCCCATATTACTATTTTGCTCCACTCTGTCACGTAAAGCCTGTCCAATGACAAGAGTTTCAAGGTATTAACAGATTATATATCACTGCACATAATTTAGCAATCAATGTATACATATCCTCTCTATCCATAAATACAAATTATTTTTCGAATAACTTTTTTTTTTTTTTGCACAAAAATGTAAGTTGTTTTTAAGAATATCAATGAGTAATTAAAAAAAATTTTCTAATTTTACCTATATTTATACTCTTTTCGCCTAAAAAATATAACTCGTTTAAGGTTTTTTTTTTATAGAAATATAAATAATAAAATTTTTAATGTTAATTAATATAGGATTAGATAATTTATTCAAAATTTTTATTTTTTTAAATTTGTAGCTTGAATAAATAACAAAAATAAATATTACTATTGAAAACAACTAAATCAATTTCATAAAACTTATTAAAATTTATTTTAAAAAATTATAATATAACAAAAAAATAAATTGAGATTTTTTTAAGAACATATTTTTCATGGTTTGAAACTGAAACCGCTGATTTTAAACTAAAACCACTGGTTTCGATTTATGTTAAATAAAGAATCGAAACTAGATCTTAAATATACGATTTCGGTTATGGTCTGAAATCAAGAACCAATGACCACGATTTAATACCTCTTTTAACCGGTTTGATTTAAATTCAATTCCAATTTGAAATCGAACCATACTCATCTCGAGGCACCGTAGACCCTTTGGCGGTGACCTATTATTTTTTGACCCTCTAGTGTTTGAGCTGGGTTGGCTACTGACGTTATCATACGCTAAGGTAAATATAGGCTATAACCAATTCAATATTGATCAGATTTTAATAAATCAAAGAAATGAAGGTATTTCTGATCTGACAAAATAAAAATAATGGAAATTAAGCAATTTCCAGTAAAGCATGAATAGACGAATTAAGCCAATAGGTGACATATGCTTTCATATCATACCACTTCAGCATAGGTGGATTTCAAAAAACACAAGAGCTTGTCCCTATATATACATGGAGTCATTCTAACTCTCAAAAACAAGTAAGTTTCAGATAAATCTACCATCACTAATTTTAAGCATATGTATGAGAAGTTAGAAACCAAACCTTTTTCTTGTCTTGCATGGGGTAAATTATATTAATGGTTACCTAGCTTTGTATTTAATTTTAGAATGTTACATAATTTTCATTTGTCATTTTTCTGTCACTGAACTTTAATTTTTATTTCATAGCATGATTTATTATCAATGCGTATATTTCTATTTAATTGTGGATTTAAACTTGATTAAAGGAAAAAGAGATATGCATAATAAATGTACGTTTTAATAATTAACAATTATCTTTATGTGTATATATATATATATATATATAACTAGCAAATTGATCGTCCAATTAAAATCTTCTAAAAATATAAGTAATTATTTTCTAAAATTTATAAAAAACGGAGAAAATAAAATGTCTAGAAAATAGAGTACCAAGTTGACATTTGTACTCAATGATATATATATATATAAAACCTCTTTCCCAGTCAATAATATATTTATATATATTGGTTTATACTATAGGAGCCCCTAATCTATTGGACGTAGCCCAATCCTATTCGCTCTCATCACACTCTCAGTGGGATTCTTTCATTCGTAATTAATTCAATATTTGATGTCGTACTTAAATAAACCGAGTTTTTTTCCGCTCAAACCAACCAAATTTTGTCTGCATTCATTAACTTTATTGGACCCTAGGGGACCATGGCTCCCCCATCCCTCTGTTTCCCCTTATCACACACACAAACTCGAATTTGTTGACTTTTAGCTAATTCATCAAATAAATTAAACAAACTCTTATTGTCGGCAATCCTCTAGGTATAGGATATCAGAATAACTCACATTAAGCCCCAAGTCCAAGGCCACAGGAACTGCTGCCCTAACATTGAGTCTTTTTGGAAGATTGTTGTTCTCCTCCGTTGCTCTATTGTTATCACCTGTCACCGTTTACATGTGGATAAGAAATTAAAAAGAAATGAGTATTTTATAGTGATCAAACTACTGGAAGGAGGAGACCTTACCGTATAGCCTGTTGAGGTAACGAGACAGACTTGCTTGTAATACCGCCGTGATAACATCATTCACGGTCTATAAATCCAAAATAGAATATTAATACAAAAATCAATAAAATAATTGGAACACATTGATTTTCTAGAAATATATTTAGTAGAATGCTTAAATTGCGCTTCTTTAAAATAAAAAATTCTTCATTTAAATTTACTATAAAACCAATGCTAATTTTATCTTATATTGAAATATCACCATTAGAGTAATAATTCCATTTCATTTTTTCATGCCTTAATATACTGAAAAACTTTTAATTATGTGTATTGTCAAAATTAAAGTAATGATAAATGAAAGTAATAATAAAAAATAGAAAATAAAAATAAATTACACCTAATAAATTTGAAAAAAAAAATTCTTAAAATTATCAACATATTCTCAAAATTATAAATGAACAAAATAAAATTCTTATTTATTGTTCTTAAAGTAAAACGGATAGAGTACTAAATTAGTAAAAACTTATGCTGAGAGAACTTGCCTAAACCTAATACTAAGTCAATAACTAATTGCCATCTAGACAAGATTGTCACAATTTATTACTATTTTATTCGTTTTTTTCCCAAGTAAAAGGATAATGATACTCTTTTTCCTAAAACGTTTCTACGGGGTTGACGTAGCACATAGGTGCACTACACACTAAATGCAAGTAAGTGTTTCAATAAATAAATACTTGCCCGGTATATGCGATCACTCACTCGTATGCCAAATTAATGAAAAAAAGGATTTTTAAAAGGTTTTACTGTTTTATCTTTTTTTTTTTTTTCCAATTTATGATTAAAAATACTCTCAGTTGATTTTAAAAAGTTTTTTTAATTGGCTTGATATATAAGATAGACTATACACCAGGTTTAAGTAAATCTTTTCCATTTTAATATATACATATATTTGTAAGAGACTTATATATTCCCTATGTACAGACAGGCTTATATACTAAACAAATAACTAATGCTAACCTTACCTATTGAAACTACTCAAAGTGAAATATTCATAAATTAAGCTGTAAATATAATGGTATAATTAAATATAATTATAAGGGAAGATATAAATTGTCACTTACAGTGTTTGTGGCATTTTTCACCAATTTAATGTCATCCAAACTAAAAATTTTGTAAACAATCCGTCTGCCAAAAGATCCACGACAAGTAGAATTCGTAATAGGTGTTTTCGAATCCTTGAAGAAAAATAATGTTGCAATCAACATTATAACGTCAACCATACTATTCCAGTAAAATCTAAAAATCAACCAACACTTGGCAAAGTAACTCAAATTATTCTGCTCTTCATATTTCTCCTTCTTCTTCTTCATTGGAAAGGATGGAAATGCCTCTGGATCAGAAACTTTATGAGTTGAAGAAAGTAAAAGAGAAATGAGAGAGAATCCATCTCCGAGAGCGTGATGAACGCGAAGAATGCAAACAGATTCAGCGTCATCAGTTTTAAGATTTAGGATATGAAAATCCCATAAAGGCTTTGAAATATCTAAATTTGTTTTGCTTAAATTAGAGATGTAATCTTCCAAGAATGCATGTGGTGATAACCCCATTTCTTGATTGAGCTGTGGGACTATCACATGGTCTTCCACATTCACACTTGTTCTTATCCATTTCACCTTCCCGTCTTTGTCATCAATAACCTGAATTTATTTCCAATTAAAATTTCATAAAGATAAATCTTATACATATGTATACCTTGTATTTGATACAGTTACATCAATCTCAATGTGGCCTATTATGCTACCGCATGTTTTTGTCATGAAATATAATACTTAACATATAACCATAAATTAAAAAGGAAACGAACATTAGCTAATTGCTAAAAAGATAATTAACATAAAAATCGAAAAAAGCTCTATTTTCTTCCTCCACGGGCGGTCACTGATGAGCTCTCACGAGTGGTTACTCCTTTCCCTTTTTTCTTTCTTTGTTTTTTAAATAATCCTCAGATTTATATCTTTTGATACAGATTTGAGTTATTGTTGTTCATATGTTAGGATTTTATTCTCAGATCTAAATTTGAGTTATTGTTGTCACCGTTATATTGATTTTGTCTAGGATATTCTATTATTTGGACTCTTACGTAGTAAGAAGTTGAGATCTCATTTCTAATAGAAGAAAGAAATTTGAAAGTGATCAGATTGAACTTATAGAAAGACCATGAAGTGGAGCAAGCGATTGCCTATGACACATATATTCTCTCAACTCGATCAAATACTTCAAATCAAGATTGTGTTTTTTATTCTATGTATAATTGGTTTTTTTATTAGACTTTCTATATAAAAATATAGAAACATATCCATTTGTATCTCATATCTGTATACAATTTTCTTTCAATGTAATAAATTCCTAATTTGATTTCTTCTATAAAAACTAACATAAAAATCAAAAAGATCAATAAAAAAAATAAAACCAAATTAATTTTAGTTTCTTAATGTGATGTTTTTCAATTTTTTCTCCTTTTTCTTTTCAACTGCCAATTAATACTAGTATTTAGCGTGTATGTATGAAGTTGCGGAATTTCTTATCGAATAAGCTATCTTAAACATTTTTCGTTACAATAAGGAAATACTATTTTTTTATGCTAAATCAATATGTAAAGAAAATGAACATTTTTAAATTTTAGCCGATTCTCCTTGTAGTCTCCTGATCTTTATTGGAGTTCAATCATAAACATTTCAGTATTAACTATGCCTCTTATTAAAATGAGATGTGAAAATATTGTCATGATTGAACACCACAAAGTTATTTAATTATGGCGAAAGACATAATTATTATTGAAATATAGAAAAACATAGTTATAATTAAGTCTTGCAAAGTTCAAGAGGCTAAAAGAGAATTAGCCAAGTCCAAGGTCAAATTATGTGTTAGGTAGACAGAAAAAAAGAAAAGACAATAAGAATAATTTAGAAAATAATAAAAATTATTAATAGCGTTTCCGTACGGACCATTGGAGCAATATTTAAATTCACTAATAATGTCTATTTAATTAATAATTAGACTTATATAATGCGTAAGATTTTACTTCAACACCAAAAAGAGAAAAAAAAAAATATTGGTTCGTTTTTTATTGCAAGAATAATTTACTCTACTTTTATCAATTAACATTAGATTATCTACGAACATGCAATTGTGCTCAACTGGATGTAATTAAATGAAACAATACCTGCAAACTAGAGAAGCGAGGATTCCTCATCAAAGTATGCATCAGGTTATCCTTGAAAAAACTAGGGTTTATTCTGTTCTTGAACCCTAAAATGGCGATGACATAGACACCGGATTCCGATTTCACAAACGCACTAGACCACGGACTTAAGGGTTCCTCTTCTTTTTCTGTCATTTTTAGATATTTACCTTCTACGCTTGTTCGAACGGGCTTAAGAGCCTGCATTTTGTTTCTAAAAAAATTTTCCATGAGACAATTCTATATACCTAACAGGCTTCTCTAGTAAGAATATGATGACTTCTTATTAGTTATCACTACTATATGTAGACATCAAAATAAACATGGTGGCTAGAATTTAGTGGTCTACGAATTGCCATGGAAGATGGAGAGAAAGGACAATTATATTTTGCACATGATAAATGAAAAGGAAGAAAACAAAACGGGAATTATTGACAACGCCCAATATCAACCATTCAAGATTGGTACCGCTCAACACCAACAATGCTACAATAAAAAATACATTTTGTAGTCTTCTTTAGTAAATTGGTTATAAAAAGCCATCACTACTTATTGTAACTAGGAGTGACCATATTCCAATTTTGGAACCGGAACCGGTTGGAATCGAAATTGGAACTGGAATCGGCTAGATTCGGAACTGGAACTAGAAGGTTGTGGTTCTATTCTGGTTCTAATTTTTTTAGAACCGTGAACAGACGGTTCTAAGAACCGGCCGGAATTGAAAGTTTTGCCAATTGATTAGAACCGCCAGTTCCAATACATTTTTTTATTTTTTCAAATTTTTCATTAAAATCACAAAATTAACTCTTCTAACAACAATAAACTACTATATGATATTTAGTTATGTTGAAGGTACTTTCATAAGTTAGATTTTTTTTTTTTTTTGTTTTTAAATTATGCAAACCACCAAAAAAAATTAGTTGGAGAACTGTCGATTTTGGAACTGTTAATGAATCGTAACCGTTAAGGAACCGGCACCAAAATCATAACCGGATGATAATCAGAATTGGAACTGTCAATTTTCGGTTCGGTTCCGGTTCCATATTATTTGAAATTGGAACCGTCATTTTTGTAACCAAAATCGGTGGTTCTTGAATCGTTGCCACCCCTAATTGTAATCCAAAAAACAACAAATTAGGTCAATGGTCAACTCAAGTCTTATGTGTTGGTCTTGCATGTTTTATATTTTGTTTACTAATTTTGACCAATTTAAAATTAGAACGCAATTTTGACAAAAATTTTCAATTGGGAGGCCTGGTGGATTAAGTTGGATATGGTGTACAATTTGTTAGTTTAAGGGTCAATTTTATCTTTAGATTTTGATAATTATACAAAATGACAGCTTGTTTCGCAAGTGTACGAATCGCTACAAGTAATATATGAATGAGTAAGATATCGTTTCCACGAGGATTGTAATCCAAGTACCAAAATTGTATGACAGCTTGTTTCGCAAGTGTATACGAATCGCTAAAGTAAATATATGAATGAGTAAGATTAATCCGTTTCCACGAGGATTGTAATCCAGTACAAAATTGTGTTAAATCTTGTTATTATTTAAACGATATTAAGAAGAAATTGTTGTATAAGTGTAAAATAAACAAAAATCAAGTAAATAAAAATTGAATTGAAAGAAATCAAGGAATTGAAAACTACTAGGGGTTTTAATTTCATTTAATTTCTATCCAATTTATTTTATTAATTCATTAATCAATTTTAATTATTCAAGTAGGGGAAACAACTCTAAATTCACTAACAAGCTCTTCCGATGTACTGCTGCTAATTTTTAATTCCATTTAATTACTACTTCGCAATAGGCGCAATCAAATATGAAATTAATATCATTGAAGTTATGTAGTTGTTTATGAATTTACAATTAAGGTTTGATAAAATCATAAAACATGAGTCAAACCATATAGCTTCTGCATCAAGTTATTATTCTCATGTAATTTATTACCTTTTTCATATCAAAAACCCTTCTCCCGACAGTGTTTAATGAAATAAATCAATCTAGGGAAAAAACTCTACCTAGAAGCATTAAGTTCAATAATGAATTATACTTTGAACAAAGAAAAAGAAATCTAATATTATAAATTGGAAAAGAAATTAACCTACATCAAATCCCTACTATGAGAATTTAGTTCGACATAGTAATTAAATAAAACTCAATTAAACTTGAAAATAATTCCATAATCAATGTGAATAATGAAAAGTAAAAACAAGATTAAATACAAGATTTAGAGGTTTAAGAAAATGAGAAATGTGATAAAGTTGCTTGGATGACTTCCTTGAAACTTTGCACACAAACTCTTGAATACGTTAACTTCTAACTAATATAACAAACTATGAGAGAAAGAAAGAGTGAGTGAGTGTAATATGTGGGATGGGATATTTTGGAATGGGCTTTTCCCTCTTTATATAGACTTCTTTGGGAACAGCTTTGCTTTAATGAGGTAAAGTCAACTTTGTGAGGTGGAAAAGTTTCTAAATCAAGCATAAATTTGTCTTCTCATTAATAGCTTTCAAATGCGCTTTTCAAATGCATATGGTTGAACTTTGACTGGTATGTGAAGAGAGTATCCAAAGTATCCTGTGAAAATGGTAGGAATTAGTTGGCAACTTTTGACTTAAATTTAGGTTTTCTTGATTGGCATGGGTGTGCTGCCTGGCACGGTCTGGGGCGTGCTAGGCTCTGGAAGTCTAGGGCTCTCAGCACGGGCGTGCTTCAGCGGCATGGTCTGGGGAAGTTCTAGGGCACGGGTGTGCATACTAGCACGGCTGCGGGCATGCACTCCTCTGGAAGTCTGGAAGTTGTGTAGCACGGGCATGCTTCAGCTGCACGGGCCAAGTTTCTATCTCCAGTGCTCGCACAGGCGTGCTCCTTAGCACGGCCTGGGGGGTGCATCTCTTTGGAAGTCCGAGGCATTTGAGCACTGGCGTGCGCCTTAACATGGGCTGGGGCGTGCGCGCCTCTGGCTCTTTACTTTGATTTGCCTTGTGTTTGGCACGGTCGTGCGCCTTAGCACTTACATAAATTGCATTATGCTTCCACCAAAATCCATGATTCAAAAAATAAATTCTATTAATGCCAATACGATACACCTAAAATATTTTTATGGCGTGCGCCTTTAACATGGGCTGGGGCAGCTATGTGCGCGCCTCTGGCTCTTTACTTTGATTTCTTTTGTGTTTGGCTAACGGTCGTGCGCCCTTTAGTCACGGGCGATAGCGTGCTAACTATGGTTAAGCCTTATTTTTGTCCTTTCTTTGCAAAATCAACTATGAGTTGTTCCTGTTTCACAGGAGCTTTTAAGTGAAAACATAACAATATTTAACATTTTTAAAATTAATTTAGATAAATTGAAAAAGAATGCTAGAAATCTTATAGTTAAAAATGCTAGAAATCTTAGTGAAAATTATAATAAAAATACTATAAAAATTAACACTATCAAAATTCCCCAAACTTAAACTATTGCTTGTTCTCAAGCAAATAAAACTAAACTGCTAGCTCAAAATAGTCTGGAATAATTAATCTCAAATTTAATAAATATCCAATTATTAACATAAGAGTAAATTATATATTTCCTATGTCAATTATTTCTAGCCAAAATTCAAATTAATAGAACATATTCTTTTTATTAAACATGAGTTAAGAAAACTTTTGTCTCCTTTAGAATAGTAAGTACTTAGGACAAATTTAGCATATATATAATATTTCTCATCTCAAGGTATTTTTAGGTAACCTATTTCTATCACATAAATTGGTTGCATTTTATGGTCCATACCATTTCTCACCTTTTGCCTCTTTTGTGGTTGTATTTTATGCTCCATACCACTTATATATTGATAATTTTATGCTCCATAACCACTATATATATATATATATGAATATTATATATTATACTTATATATAGAATAATTATACGTATATACTATATATATAATAATTATATAGGAATATAAAAGCAATAAGTAGTTGCATTTTATGCTCCATAACCACTTTGTTTTAGAACGGATTTCCGTATTCCTTCCCAATTCTTGCTTTTTCTCTCATAATACCTTCATCCTTTATTGATTTAAAACATTACATGTTCATAATACCTTCATCCTTTATTGATTTAAAACATACATGTAATATGGCTTTAGTGTCCCTTGTCTTTTTATTCAAGTTAGGATTCAAAATTTTCTAAACAACGGTTGCTGTTTATAACTTTAGAAACAAATGGTTAAATCAAAGAAGTATGTTAAAAATATAAATTTGGTTAAAAGCAATTAACTTTGGAAACACAATTAATTTATTCAATGGTTAATGAATTTAAGATAAATTTTAAATTTGATCATAATTATTCCATATTTATTTTATTAAAACAAAATAAAACAAAAATTTATTATAATTAATTTTATAGTTTAGATAAAACGTCTTCCCCCCAACTTAATTGAGCACATTATCCTCAATGAGCTAGATGCAATTCCCCAAACTTATGGAATTATGAAAGTTTTAATAAAGAATAGGAAGTGGAGAAAAGTACCATCGTTGATGTGAGACAATATAAGGTAGCCGGGTGGCGAAGTTCATCCAAGCTATGATGGAAGAAACATACTAAAAAGATAACCAAAATATTGAAATTGAAAAGCAATTAAAAGCAAAAGATAACCAAAATATTGAAATTGAAAAGCAATTAAAAGCCCAAAGATGTAACTGCAACTAACTGAAATCTAAAGTATTCAAACAAAACCAATGTGAAATGTTCGACACATAGAAAAATAAGAGAGAATAACCAAAACGATATGAAAAATATCAGGCCTCTGGTGGTGGAGGTGGAGGAGGCTGAAGCAAGTGAAGAATAGTCTGAAGTTGACCCTGTATAGTGTCAAGGCTAGAGTCGATGCTGCCCTGCGTGATCTCAAGCAACTGGAAACGATCAGCAATCATGGACTCCACGCCAGTAAGTCGAGTGTCGAACACATCCATGCAAGAGAGCATTCGGGCAAGCACCTCATCATTGGACACGGTGGAAGTGCCCTGAAATGAAGGCCTAGCTCCGGAGGTACCTGCACCAAAACTAAACCAGGGAAAGGAGGTGGAATATCCTCCTCTGTGTTAGCGCCACCGGCATCCTAAGGTGCCTCATGATTAGAACGGTTTACTGGAGCGCCCACTAAACGATAAGATTCGCCGGCCTTTTCCACTATCCCCAAAGCGCAACAAACATACACAACTAAAACGATAAGATCGACCAGGCTCTCTCTAATCCACAATATCACTCAATAATGAAAAAACGATAA